ACTGAGGGTGACATAGTATGACTGTCTCAAAAAACATTAAGAAAAACATTTTCTAAGATAAAAAATAATTTAGTGAGATGGGTAGGATTATTTTATATTTTTGAAAATCTCTGCAATGTCTGGCTTAGTTTAAGACAATTGGATTCTCATCTCTCTCGGCATTTAATCTTTTGTGCTGTGCTGTTCTAATTGATGTAGATGAAAACAATCTGGCCTTGTGTAGATATGCAGATGGATAGAAAAGAGAAGAGTATTTTAATAGCAGTTTCAGATAATTGTGCATAGTCTTTGCTGAGACTACACCAAAACTCAATAAGTAGTAGTTCCTTAAAATTGACCTGCAATGTGGAATCTGAAACCATAATTAATAAACTTTTTTTTTACTCCCTTACATTAAAATTGGTCTATCTTGCAATCTGAATGGATCTTTTACCTATACATTATTCTGTAATGTTTTTTGGACAATATTAGTCTACTGGGTCATTCAGCTCCTCTAAATGTTAACATATTTTGTTACATAATATATAAAAAATTGTACTTGTTGATATCACTAGTCAACTTACCCACAAAAATTATAAAAATACTTTTTAAGCTCATGGTGGCAAATACCAAGTTTTCCAAAATTTAAAATTTTTCTTGAAAGTTCCAATTTTATCTTTGGTAACAAATAATATCAGTTGTTTTCCTTAAAGCAACAAGCTCATTCTGTTCATTTTTTTTCTTAGCATTAATCTAGTTCAACATTAACTCCATTCATTTTTGAGAAAATGTCTGCCAAAGCAAACAAGTCTGCATAAGCATAGTTTGTCACTTGTTCATTCAGGTAAAAATGTTCATGGAAAAAGAGGGCTGTTGAGCTCACATCTCAATCACACAGTGCTTTTCTTTTTTTGAAGACAGAGTTTCACTTTGTGACCCTCGGTAGAGTGCCATGACATCTTAGCTCACAGCAACCTCAAACTCTTGGGTTCAAGCTGTCCTCTTGCCTCAGCTTCCCAAGGAGCTGGACTACAAGCGCCCTCCACAACACTTGGCTATTTTTAGAGATGGGGTCTCACTCTTGCTCAGGCTGGTCTTGAACTCCTGAGCTCAAGCAATCCATCTGTCTCAGCCTCTCAGAGTGCTAGGATTACAGGCATGAGCCACTGTGCTTGGCCTAACACAGTGCTTTTCTTGAGATGACTATCATATTTGTCATGTAGCAGAAGGGCTTGATGTGTTCTTCCCATTTCATCACACAGGATATTGAAAAGACATGCACTTCAAGGTCAAGATTTAATAAAATTCACAATTTTTACTGCTTTATCAAAGCCATTCTTTTTTTTTTTTGAGACAGGAGCCTCAAGCTGTCCCCCTGGGTAGAGTGCCATGGCATCTCAGCTCACAGCAACCTCCAACTCCTGGGCTCAAGTGAGTCTCCTGCCTCAGCCTCCCAAGTAGCTGGGATCACAGGCGCCCACCATAACGCCCGGCTATTTTTTGGTGCAGCCATCATTGTTGTTTGGCGGGCCCGGGCTGGATTCGAACCGGCCACCTTGGGTGTACATGGCTGGCGCCTTAGCCACTTGAGCCACAGGCACTGAGCTATCAAAGCCATTCTTAATTAAGACTATTTTGTTTGTTTTTAAATTGAAGAATGTATAGTAGTAAAGCATCAACTACTAGCTTAAGTTGATGTCACTGCTTTTATTCAATCTAGGGTGTCAGCAATTTTGTCTGCTATTGCTTTTGTACTATCAGTGCAAATTCAACATAGTAAAATAGGCAAATAATATCTTAATAGTATTATGAAACTAGTTTTGACCACTTGGACTCCCTGAAAGGGTTTTGGAGATTCCCAGGGGTCTGAAGACTATACTTTGAGAACCCTAGTCTAATGTGTAGCACAAAGTAGGAACTCAAATGTTGACTGATTTGAAGATGTATCCAAAGATGAACAGCAATTATGTATTGCTAAAACCAAGTTTTCTGGAAAATAAAATTCTATTATCCTAAGATACTATAAAGTCTCTGTCAAAGTTCTGTTCCTTCTAGATTTCATAAATTGCTTAAAAGACAATTAATAGTGGCTCGGCGCCTATGGCTCAAGCGGCTAGGGCGCCAGCCACATACACCTAAGGTGGCGGGTCCGAATCCCCAGCCTGGCCCGCC